TCGCACGATCTCAGAAAGAGACCTCAGAGGTTCCAAGTGAGGCCTGAGTTCTTCCAAGATTGCTGCCATGCTGATGATTGTATCTTCCCGTGCTACTGCCAGTCGCTCCTGGATAGCCGATATCTTCTTATCAAACGACTGCAGACTAGCCAAAACGTTGTCGCGAAAGACTTGGAAGAGAGGCGCCGTCTGCGCCCTCTTCGAGAATGAACGCAGTAGGGAAAGTTGACGTCCACTTTCAGCGAAGCAAGTGATTAGAGCCTTGTAAGTATCCCAAGCAACGCTCAAAATCTGGTATGCTGGATCGGGAATGCCGTCTTTTAGGAATAGTGTCGTCGGGAGACCTTGTAGCATAAACAGGGCTTCTCTTGCCGCCTGAAATTCGGTAATGGGCACCTTGTGTTGTCGTGTCGAGGACGCACTTTTCGCTTGTGTTCTCCAGGCCTGACTGTCTTGAACCTCTTTCAGAGCTGCCTCATCGAAAGAGGTAATCTCAAAATCCTCCGGTCGCCTGCTGGGCGAGGGATCGAGTGTTGAAAGTGACGTGTCGTCGGATTCGCTCGATATTTCTGACTTCAAATCGCCGTATTCATCGCCAGAGTGATCGCTGTAATCGATAGACTTCCATATGTCGGCATCTTCGTGCCAGCCATCCTCTTTCGCAATATCCTCCCATCTCAGTGGCGGTTCGGCATCTTTTTCGGGTTCCTTCAAGAGTTCTAGATCGCTCAGCCGAGTCTTCTGCGTCGGTCGGTCGGCTAGCTCGAGAAGGAAATGTAAGATATCGGGATGCCATTTCGTTCGAAACTGTGACAGTGCGTCGAGACGTTCTCTAAAGGCATCCGCCAAACCTTCGCGATGGTGGACTTGAAAGCGCTCCTCTAGCCCAAGAAGCTGGCTTTCGACATCGAATTGGTTGGTGCGCAAGAAGCTGTGGTACCTCACGCTGCGCAGTGCAGACTCTCGTAATAAATTGAACCTCTCCGGACTAATTTTCTGTGCATAATGTTAGCGACGGGCCGAGCTGCATCCCATCACATGTGTTGGAATGGGAGATGAGACGAACTGTCTCCCACCTTGTCTGCTGTCGACGTAATGACCTCGACAAGCTCTTCGGTCAAGGCGCCAAGCTTCGCAGCGAATGCCATGATGTTTCGAAAGAGCTGAACCGCTGGCGAGTGGTTCTGAGACTCAAATCATCGACGTTGGGCATTGAAGAGGCGCATGAATACCAATTGTTCGCATGGCGGAAGACGCGTTCATTAACAGTTGATACGCGCGACACGCAGGGCGGGAGGGGCGGTGGGGTGCCGCCCTCTCTTCTTATCGCTAGCGTACAGGGATGAGATTACTGGAGCAGCCGGCCATGGGCCATAGGCCTCGATCCTCTCAATACCGTGCGCTAATTGGCAAATTTCATGAGTGTGACATCAGCCTCAACCAGCCAACGAACCGGGAACGATTGCCATCGAGCCCCTTTTTCGAATTTTACGCGTCGCAATCAACCTAGCCTGGTAGCTTGCAAATCTTCCTCTCACACCTCTAGGCGACCCTCACAAAAACGACGGCACGAGCCGCAACCGAGAATTCCCACTATCCTACTTCGACGACCTGGCCTTTCCGCTAGTCATCGATACTCGCGCGGACCTCGAATCTGACAGCCCCCGAAGGGTTGAGATCCGGGCAGACGCCAGCATATTGAGATTGCTAGCTCGCATTCGACCTTTCACCCAAGATGGCGGTAGCCCGGCCAGTTCGAGCTCTGGCCCTAGCTGCCGTGATGCTGTGGTGCTTCTTCCTTTACCAGATATTTGGTCCTGAAAGGCCGATAGGCCAGAAGCCAGTGCGCTACGACAATGGACGGGACCCCAACCTCGATCGTGAGTTGCGCCTGCAAAGCACGCAAGCACCTTGCACAGAAGGCTAATCTTTGCATCTCCACACAGCCACTGGAGAGCCTCAAGGCATTCTGACGTACGCCTCCGACAAGTATGCCCCCGACGCCAAGGACTCTGCGCGCATCAACGCAACTTTGCTCGCTCTGGTCAGAAACGAGGAGTTGGATGGAATGATCCAGTCGATGGTCGACCTCGAGAGCACATGGAACCACAAGTTCAACTACCCCTGGACCTTCTTCAACGAGGTTCCCTTCACCGACGAGTTCAAGAGGAGGACCCAGGCTGCTACCAAGGCCGAATGCAGATACGGTAAGCACTTGCGAACCTCCCCAACGCGATACTTGGACTGACCCTCGCATGTAGAGCTTATTCCCAAGGAGCATTGGGAGATGCCGTCGTGGATCAACAAGGACCTCTACGAAGAATCCATCAAGATCCTCAAGGAAAACGATATCCAATACGCCGACAAGATCTCATACCACTCGATGTGCCGCTGGAACAGTGGAATGTTCTACAGACATCCCGCCCTGCAGCACACCAAGTACTACTGGCGCGTCGAGCCCAAGGTTCATTTCTTCTGTGATGTCGATTACGACGTCTTCCGATACATGCAGGATAACAATAAGACGTACGGTTTCACCATCAACCTGTACGACGCACCCAAGTCGATCCCGACACTGTGGCCCGAGACCGTCAAGTTCCTTGCCCAGCACCCCGAGTACCTTCACGAGAACAACGCCCTGGACTGGCTCACTGACAAGACTCACCGGCCTGAGAACAACGTGGACGCAAACGGCTACTCCACCTGCCACTTCTGGAGCAACTTCGAAATCGCCGATATTGACTTCTGGCGCAGCCAAGCGTATGAGGACTACTTTCAACACCTGGACCGCGCTGGGGGTTTCTTCTACGAGCGGTGGGGCGATGCCCCTGTCCACAGCATTGCTTTGGGTCTTTTTGAGGACAAGTCCAAGGTCCATTGGTAAGTTCTGCCAACCCGAGAATATGAGAGGGTGCAAGACTAACACGCGTCAGGTTCCGTGACATCGGATACCAGCACATCCCGTTCTTCAACTGCCCCAACTCGAACAAGTGCAAGGGCTGTGTGACTGGCCGCTTTACCGACGGTGAGGCCTGGTTGCACAAGGACGACTGCCGCCCGAATTGGTTCAAATATGTCGGCATGGACTAGTTGAGCGACCTTTCAGTGATGGGCGGCTGCTGTTCATATTAATTTGTTTGGTTGGCACCAATTGGGCGATTTCCAGGAGGCATCTGGGTACAATGGTGTTGGGCGTCTGCGGAACCTCCATGCGTGTGTAAAGTACCACGGGGTCAGAAACGGACATGACTCTGTATGATTTGAGTAGATGAGGCTAGAAGCATGAACGTCTTAGAAGAAGAAGGAAATGTTTTCCCAGCAGCTGCTGCATCATGATGAAACCCGTCACTATAGTGAGCCGAAGACGGTGGCTACTCCTGACGTGCCTCCGACGCAGAACTGATCCCCCCATCCGTCGTCCCTCCACGCTATACAGCTGATAACGTTGCTTCTTTCCTTTTCCTTGCCGTCTTTTCCTAGCAGCTTCTTTTTTGGCTCGAAGCCCTCTGGGCAGGGCACTCTCACGGTGGCAACCAACCGGCCCGTTAGCAGATCCCAGGCCCACATCTTCCCATCGCCGTTCAGCCCCGCCGGCCCTGTGCCGGCAGTGAGCTCGTCGCCAGCAATGACATACTTCTCCTTACCGCCGAGCACGGCCTGCACTCGGAGCTCCTCGTTCCTCCACCCGCCATCCGCATACGTCTTGAGACACGTCCCGCTCTCTCTGTCCATCAAGCGGATCTTGCTGTCCAGCGAGCTGACCAGCATGGCCTTCCCGTCACGCGTGAGCCTCAGGCTCGTCACGCTTGCGCCGATGACATCCGTCACGCACCGCCCCATTCGCACGTCGTAGCTCCTTACCCTGCCGTCCACGCTGCCCGCCACGATCTCCGCGTCCCGCACAGCGAGCGCCGTGACGGCGTCCTTGGCCTCGTCGAGGACCTGCACGGGCTTGGCCGAGTTGGACTTGGCGTCCCACACGCGCACGCTCGTGTCGAAACCTGCCGAGACGACGAGAGAGTCGGCCTCGCCGGCGAAGGAGACGCAGTTGATGCGCGCCGTGTGGCCGTGCGCGTTGCCGCCGAAGCGGCGCGTTGTGGTAGCCGTCGCGACGTCCCAGAGAAAGACGGCGCGGTCACCGCCGGCAGAGGCAAAGCGCTCGTTGTCCGATGAAACGGTTAGGTCAAGGACCTCGTAGCCGTGGGCGCCGTAGGTCTGAATGAGGCGGCCTTCTGGGACTGTCGGGGAGGCCCCGGGCGGTCTCTTTCTGGTGATGGTTGCCCCGTAGCGCGCGGGCTGGTCGTGGGATGCCGGGTTGTAGAGCCTGATGTTGCGGTCTGCTGAGCCGGTGAGGATATAGGTGCCTGGCGAGGCAGAGTACGTGACGGCGTGAACGGGTCCTATTGGAGGTTAGGAATTTGATCCAATGAATTATATGCTTTAGCTACGGCCAGATGCTGGTCGATAAGCAGCCTCGCGCGCATGCCAATACCATGAAAGTCGGCATAACTCACCATTCGAGCCCAGCAGGTGAGCGACCGGCCTGTCAGGAAACGACATCTTTAGAGGTCAACAATGTGCCCATCACCAAATTCTTCTTCTTAGGGAACTTTGTGAGATGACATTTCTGGTTGGCCTAGACAGTTTAGTTACAAATTTCCATCTTGTTCCCTCACGTGAAAGAAAGGCAAGGAACGATGCTGTCCAAAGTACTAGTGAGCAGGAAATGCCCATTTGGGTGGATCGGTTTAGTGCATATCGAGTATCCACAGAAGTCAATTCTTAGGGATTGGATACTCTGCCGCCAACCGATACGATGACCAAAAAAGATACTTTCAAACAGACTCCATAATAACTCAAACATAGCCGCAAGATTCAATATCTGAAAGAGATAGAGAGTGAGATTTAACTGTATATGGCGACGGCGAAGCGAGATTGATTCCTCGTGCAGGAAAGTGGATCATTATACAAGTTTTTACCAATTTCACAATATGTTAAATGGCCGGTTGGCCCAATGGCAAGGCGTCTGACTACGACTACTTCTCCATCCTGGAACTAAGGCTGGAGGCTATGTATGCTCTGCAATCAGGAGATTCTGGGTTCGACCCCCAGGCTGGTCAATTATTTTTGCAGATTTTGCAGATTCTCACATTTTTTTATATTTGCCACTTAAACAGGCGCTTTTCTTCTTTTTGCTTTTCAATACTTTCCCTCTATTTCTATAGGTAAATATAGCCGGCATAGTTAAACCTTGTTGTGCTCTCCCCTATTCAAGAGTGCCAGCGTCATGTGGCAGCATCATGTAAGTCAGTGTCTAGTATTAGGACTTCTTTCCAAGATCGCACGCGTCAATTACCATAAAATTGATAAGTAAGATAACCCCGTTAGTCATCAGCTTGTTATCAGGTTTGACCAAGCCTGCAGGCTCGAATTGCTGGCTGATGAATTTCACACGGCCTCAGACAGCTCTATGCAAGCAGCGAAAGTCAACAGCGGCCACGTTTCGAGGGAGAGAGGAAGATAGATGTCTTCCGCTTTTTGATACCGTCACGCCTGCATATCAAGCTGCTGTTCACCCATACCGGTATCGGCTTCGAGTCAAGACTTGTTAAGGTTTCTAATTACAAGTCGTAGGGACGGGAACCTTTCTGGCTCTCCTGCTAAGGCGTTATCCATGAGGTCGTGGATGTCGTTAAGGTGAAGAGCGCGCAAGAAGACGCACCGAATGCTGCATTAGTCCCCCAGTAGGTCCGTCCCGGTTGACAGTGTGCAATAGCCGCCTTGATTTAGCATATTAGAACAGCGAAAATATTGACCCTGTAGGTGGAATCTCGTAGGCTTCGTAGCCGCCGTGGCAAACCCTTGGCCTGTTGAACGGCAGTTGGAGAATGAGAAGTAGTAAATTGGTTTTCAAAGCATGAATCGAAGGTGAATCTTGCGCGCAGTGCTCCCCATACGAGAGCCGATTCCATCGAATCGCGGACGGCATTGTGCTCGTGGTATGCACCAGCAGTTCTTCTCGCGCATGGGAATCTCAGAATCCTGTCATCAGAGACAGCGAGCGCTCTCAACCACAGTGCCACTCGGCCAATCTCCAAAAGCATGCCAATTACCAAGCCTGGACTCTATTTACTGTTCTACCGATCGACTTCAGAGGGGACATGACAAGCCGCCTCGGGTGTCAAATGACGCGCGGGTATCGCGAGACTCGCAAGGGGCACTCTTCAGCTTCAAGGCATCTGGATACACGTTCTCCAGCATTCCGGTGAAACACACGTGTGGCGAGCGGCAAATATGCGCGTCTTCCATGGCCGCATCTCGCACGTTGGACACGCCTCCCTCCATGGAATGGGATGCCCCGCGTGGACCCCGTTGTCTAAGTCCAGCCAGGGTCGTCAGGGTCCATCAGACCTGTGTGAGGCAAAGACAATATGTCTCTGGTTAATTAGAGTGCAACAAGTGACGTCAAGGTCAATTCCTCTTGGGAAATGACCTTCACCGGGGGTTCAGGACACAAGGGAGACAACAGGTAGTTATAGGCCTGCAAAACCACTGTAGCCGACAAAATGCCCCAAAAGGCAGCGGGGAGTCGCTAATGCTATAGAGGGAGTTGAACAGTGGACCCGCCCAGGAAAATGACCAAACCCACAACCCCAACCTTAACCCCGACTGAACTATGACATTCGATCCGCTTGGACGCTAATCCTACATCGGACTAGTACGTATCTCAAACCTCTCCGGTCAGCGGCTAGGATCAGCATCGTCTTATGTCATAATCAACAAAATCACCCACTTTTTTAATAACAACAGCTGGCCCAGATCGTCTAGTTGGTTAGGATGATACGTTGTGGTTCTTCTATACAGCGATCCGTGTTGACGGCGGTTCGAATCCGCCTCTGGGCAGTCTTTACTTTTGCATGCTGCCACCATTGTTAAAATCCCTAAGTGATTTATTTTTACTGTTGTTGATAGACAATTTGATTTGCTTCTAGCGATTAGAATTTGGTGACGTTGGTATTTATTATGTGTGTTGTATGTAGTCTACAGTAACACAAACACTGATCGTACATTTCCGCTTCCCTTCACTGCTACACACCTTGAGCCTATATCCAGCTCAGTAGTCTCGTCCTCCTCGGGCGTCAAGTCTGGCCAGTCCCTCCACAGCTCGCAGGTCGCCTGCCTGGTGTACTCACTCCTCCTGGCCAGCCTCGCAACCCTGATTGCCTGTTCCTGGTCTCCCACCTCGAACAACAGAACCTTTGGCCGCAGCCGGCGTGCAACGTCCAGCAGCCTAGCATAGAAGACATCGGCATGGTCGCATCCGTCGTACGTGGACGTCATGTCCCCCGGCACCAGAGCCAGTCTCGGCTCGTACTTCCGCACAGAGTAGACCATCTGACCGCGGCCGTACATCCAGACTTTGCGCGAGACGTACGGCGGGTTCGACACCAGAACATCACACTGGGGGATCGTTGCCATGGCCGCCTCGTCAAAGACGTCTGCCAGCCGGAACGAAACGCTCTTCTCCTCGGTAGGCCGGAGCAACGCACCGGCGCCGACATTATGCCGCAGGTTCTCCCGTGAAAGACAAACCGCGGTCGGCGAGACGTCCACCCCGGTGACGCTCAGTCTCGCCGCCCGCCGCGCAAGGCCCTCGTACAGCGCGAGCGCGATGCACCCGGTCCCGGTGCAAAAGTCCACGATCCGCAGCTCCCTGTCCCGGAGGCGCGGCAGGCGGCCGGAGCCGATCATCTCCGCCAGGTGCAGCGCGTACGCCTCTGTCTCGGCGCGCGGGGCGAGCACGCCGGGCCGGCACCTGATGTCCAGCGCGCCAAAGGGCTGAGAGCCAAGGACGTACTGCAGCGGCACGCCGCGGCCGCGTCGCGCGCAGAGCCGAGCGACGCTGGCTTCTGCACCGCCCCGCGCCGGGGCGCTGCTGGCGACGTGCGACCTGATCCACCGGAGCTCGGTAACAGCGGAGGGGATATCGCGGCACGCCGGCAGGAGGGTCGCGACGTGCGGGGAGAGGGCATGCGCGCGGCGGAGGAGGGAGGGGGGCAGGCGAGGCATCTACGGCCAGGCGGGCACACCACGGACTGACTGCGTTTGGGTGTTTCCTGGTCGGCGATGACTCATGACACTGCGCGAAAAGCCTTTTAAGAGTTGACTGGTGTTGTATGATGTAAAGTTTGTTTGGAAAAGCAACGAGGGTGTGACCAAGGGCTTGGTAAAGCTTTTTTTCTCTCTCTGTCGCTCTCTCTCTTTTTTTCCTCTTTCGGCCTTTTCTCCCCAGAGGTTCACGCTTGGGCCACAGTCGCAGACGAGACGGTGCTTGATCGAGGTCTCCAGCCAAGTCCCATGATCTAATTTGGGAGAAGGAACGGTTTATCATCTCGAGTCAGAATACTGTTGCTCTATCTGCGTACTAATCAATCGATGTATGAAGAAAAGACATATTGGAGATTGCTTCTGGCTCTTCCGGCATATCTGCTGTAAGTGAGGATAACTAGGATCGGTTCAGACACGTCATCCTTTGATCAAAGCACTAGCACCAAGTTAAAAAGCGGCAGGTTCGGCTTGGAGTGCCGAGCGAATAGGACTCTCGGGGTTCTCTTCCGAAAAGAAACCTAGACTGGCAAACCTTACCGATGTCGGCGATGGCTTCACCCAGCTGGAGCCTACGCGACGGAGGTCGACCAGGGAGAATTTGGATCTTAAGGCGGGACTGGATCTTATCCAGAACGGTTTTTTTCTGTTTTTTTTCTTTTCTTTTTGGAACAGAGGACCGCGATGTCCATAGAAAGATGCTGCGACTGGACCATGGGGCCCGGAAGGGTTCTTCGTCACCTTGGTAGACATCGAACAGGCAGAAACACGAGCAAACAAAAACGAGTAACCCAACTCCGTTACCCGAAGCACCATGTATAATATATCAGGGATATCACAGTCTCCATATCTTCTTCGTCTCACTATCATCATCATCATCATCATCGACATACATCAAACTCCAGGCAAACCAGCTACCACTACAAAGTACAAACCCTTTTCACACTCAAACAAACCTCGAATACAGACCGCCAAAGATGCGCATTTCCACGCCTCAAGTCATGCTCCTCCTTGCCGCTCTCCTCGGCGCCGTCGACGCCGGCGGGGGCCATTGGAAGTACCTGCGCCAGAAGTGCTGCGAGAACCCGGACAACAACGTTTGCCGCGTGGGCCTCGAGCGCTGGCGCATCTGCGACGAGGGCTGGAGGAAGAATGGCAAGCTCCCGACCAGCTGCGGCGACTTTCGCCAGAACAGCGACTTCTCCCGCGTCGCCTGCCGCCCCGGCATCGACGGCCCGCCAGACTGGAAAGACGATGAGAAGCCCAGACCTTGAGGAGGAAGGGGACAGGGGAGGGGAAGGAGGGAAACTCTCTTCCCGGACGGAAAACGAACGGTTACCATAAACCCTGCCACAGCCTCGACAGAAGACATTGAAAGCACTAAGCGAGCATGGCGTTTCTAAAGGGCTGCTAAGGGATTTGCACAGGAATGTGTGTCAAGGAAAGACATCAGGGGCCACTTGTACGATGTGTTTACTCTATACCGCCTGGAGACAGTCTTGTTATGCCACGGCGTGGGATGCCGTGTCTTAAAACCAGCATACCAAAGAGACACCGTCACGTTTCGTCAGTGTAATTGCATATTTAAACCCCCAAGATGGAAATGAAATTCATATCGTGTTTGCTTAATCTGCTTCTCCGGGTTCAGCATCGCCGAGCGAGAAGGGAGGATTGCCAAAGTGATATGCGAGTGACGCCGTTGAGACTAACCAAAAAAAATGTTGGTGAATCTGGCGAGAAAAGATGGGTAATCGCGATCATAAGAAAAAAAAAGAAAAAAGAAAAGTAGCAGTACAATGACTCTACATGGCCAAGGCTGACGGTTCCCCTGAAAGGAATGAGATTATATCCAACCAGTGAACGCCTCGACGACAGAAAGCGACGTAAACCCAGCAGAAACCGAGCCTGCCCCTATGCCTCCGTAATCGTGATACTCATAATATTCTTCTTGTAGTCCTTGATGAAGCTCTCGTACCGCGGGTACACCTCTTCATCGGCTTGGCTCCCGTCCCTT